TGAACCCATCTGATTTTTTTTCTTTTTTTAAGGATGGATCTTGCTGTCTGTGTAAACCTCCAATTTTCGTTTACTTTGAGAGCTCTGGATTCAAAGAATGCTCTGACAGGCTGTAGGGGTCATATCCTGTCCAATGAAACTAATGGCACAAAACCTACTGAATGATTGAGATTTTACTCCATGGTTGCAGAGCAGAAACTTTGTTTCTAATTCACATTCAAAGTGTGCACATGTCTTTCTCAAATACTTGGAGGAAGAAACATTGAGGCCTTTCTTAGGATTTTATTCTGGGATTTTTTTTTCTTTTATTGAAAACATTGATTGTTCAGTAATTTTTACTGTTTGCAATATGTAGCTTACTGGTAAATCCACTTCTCTTATTTCATGAGCAGGGAGGAAGGTAAATTGGACTTTGAAAGTGAGATCCTGCAGTATATATGCAAGCAAAATGCCTCCCTGACTTCACTGAGGAGGTTTGCCTTCATGGGGACTTCAGGATGAGGCCTTTAAGTAGAAAATATCCCTTAGCCATGACTGAACTAAATATTTCTGTTGAACTTAAGGCAATCTATCAGAATTTTTCTGATCAGCCTTTTTTACTGTCTTGTCTTGAGTCATTTTTTAATGACATCTATTATCAGATTGAAATGGCGATTGAGACACTGCAAAAGTCTGATGGTCTTTCTACTCACAGAAGCTCTCTTCTCAACAGCCATGTAAGTTGTCTCTTCTTTCATGAAAGCTAATCTCTTCCTTGTTCTGCATGCTTAGCCTGCCTCTAAATGTTTGTTTCAATTTATTGCTACTTTTTCCTTTTAATCTTTCCATTTTAGTTGCTTGCAATCTACATCTTCTGTCACTATATTTTGTCAAGTGTCATGAGATATTGCAGAGTGCATTTCTTTTCTAGGTTCTGTATTGTGTTAACACAGCTTAACGTATTTACCTGTTCTGCAGGTCCTAACGTAAATGTAAAAATAATAATCAAATAATTCTTAAGTAGTCTGGGTTTGACATTATAAAATAATTTTCTACAATTTGTGTACCCAATATAATACTTTAGGAGCAGGTGAAGGGAGGAAAGAAGCAGCACACACTTTGAATAAAAAAAAAAATTAGATTTCTTTTTAAATATTTCTATTATTCTGAATAAGTTTATTATAAGATAAGAATTCTGAAGATCCATTTGATGAGATAAAAAAAATTAAAATAATCTGTTAGTCTCTAATATGTTTTATTCTTCTGCCTCTTGCTTTGTTCTGTCTTTGCAAATCCTGTAGTTAGGAATTTTCCATAAGAGAAAGCTGAAGATGTTTGCATAAAAAGATGGTTGCAAATATAGTGGCAAAGCCATTAAATATAACTTTTAGGTAAAGGAGAAAGGCTCAAAGTTTAATCTTCAGTTTGTTTTTAAACAGTGCTAGTCTTTCTTGAAATGTTATGTAAATGACATGGTTTTTTCTTCAGTTGGTATAAATAGTTTTGTATTTTTTAATGCTGCTAAATTTCTATACATACTGCATCGGTTTTGCTTCTCAGCCTTACTAACCAACATAAACTTACATATTTTTTCAGATTCTTGTATTCCTTTACCAGAGAAATTTAAATATTGATTGTGATATGAATGTATGAGTATATTGGGTAGAGGCTATACACTTATTTTGCTTTGATGACACACATTCCCCCCCCCAAGAATGTAGTAAAATGGAGGTGAAAACCAAAATTGTTTTGTCAAAGTTTATCATCATGGTAGAAGAAGACAGCAAGAGCCAGTACAATTTCTTGGAAAAGAATTTACTTTTCTTAGAAAATGCTAAAATTGGGTAAGGGAAATTGAATTCTGTAAAATGTGAAGAAGGACTTTTAGATCATTTTGGATGTTTTTAAAATAATTGTTTCAATGTTAAGACAACCTAGAAATATGCTAAAATTATTTTAATATCATAATTAAATGGATGATAATTTTTTTTGCAAATTGTCAATAATCTGTCTTAAAACTTAGATATACAAAGAATTGATAAGTCTACCTTGAATCTGACAAGGAAGTCCAAAATCTTCACACTGAAAACAATATGAATTAAAGGACAAGCTTTTCTACATCAGAAAACTGTATTCCCCTATTTCCTGTGTTATGCACTAGTTAAAAGATCATGGAACAGATTCTCCTGGAAGACATGTCAAAACATATGGAAGAGAGGGAGGTGATTAGAGACAGCCAACATGGCTTCACCAAGGGCAAATTGTTTCTGACTAATCTAGTGGCCTTCTATGATGGAGTGACTGCATCAGTGGACAAGGGAAGAGCTACGGATGTCATCTACCTAGACTTCTGTGAGGCCTTTGACACGGTCCCCCACACCATTCTTGCTGCTAAATTGGAGAGAGATAGGGGTTTGATGGATGGACTGTTAGATGGATAAGGAACTGGCTGGATGGCCACGACCAAAGAGTTGAAGTCAACGGCTCAGTATCCAAGTGGAAAGCAGGAACAAGTGGTGTCCCTCAAGGGTCCATACTAGGATCAATACTATTTAATATCTTCATCAATAACATAGAGAGCGGGATAGAGTGGGTCTGAGGAGGGTCACGAAAATGATCAGAGGACTGAAACACCTTTCCTATGAAGAAAGGCTGAGAGAGTTGGGGTCGTTCAGCCTGGAGAAGAGAAGGCTGCGGGGAGACATTATTGTGGCCTTTCAATACTTAAAGGGGGCTTCTAAGAAAGATGGAGAGAGACTTTTCACTAGTGACAGGACAAGGGGCAATGGTTTAAAACTGGAAGAGGGTAGATTTAAATTGGACATAAGGAAGAAAGTTCTTTACGATGAGGGTGGTGAGACACTGGAACAGGTTGCTGAGAGAAGTTGTGGATGCCCCATCCCTGGAAGTGTTCAAGGTCAGGTTGGATGGTGTTTTGAGCGACCTGATCTAGTGAAAGGTGTCCCTGCCCATGGCAGGGGGGTGGACTAGATGATCTTTAAAGGTCCCTTCCAACCCAAACCATTCTATTATTCTATGAAAATATCTTCCTAATAATGAGATTTGCATCTGTCTGTTATGGTAGTCTTATCCTGATTTTTCTTAACTGTTTTGAGGTATTTTCAGAACTACTGAAAGACAAATAGAGGGATATATTGTTGATTCTGTGAAAAAAAAAGACCACCCGCATCTTGCTGTAATAATTGCTCTTTCCTAGCCTCAGTCATTTTGGAAGAAATTAATGGAACCCAGATCAAACTTACTGGATGTTTTCCCTAGATTTAAAATGTTTATTGAATTATGACTCAAATAAGGACAGTAAATATGATTTTAGTCCTAGCTTCTTCCTTAAGCTGGTGTTTTGTTGCCTAAGTTAATACCTGTTCATTTTAATGATTTTTTCATTTTCCTCTATTTTATTTCCTTTCCTGATTTCTTTTTCCATGCAATTGACTTAACTAATTTATAGTCTAATGTTTTCTAAATATTGAAGTTTCATTGAAGTTCGAGTCCCATTCTGTGTAAACCATTCGAGTACCCATTCTGTGTAAACCATTTCATACCATTCCAATGTTGTTAATATTATAAATCCACGAGTCAGAAATCAAAGTCTGGACATTTCAATTTTAGAATTAGATTTCTGCAAATACAAAAATATATTTAAGGGTATTTGCAATAACTTTATAATGTCTGCAGATTATTTACCGTTTTACATGGTATTCAGCTATTGACACTCTTCTTTCCAGACTGTAACCTACCAAGTAATCACTTCAAGTTTTTGTTATTGAAATATCTTCACCCTAGAGCAAAAATCCTTAATTTGTACTTATCTTGGGTTTTGCTTTGTTGGCTAATGCCAAGCTGTGGTTGAAAGAATATCTGTCAAATACAGATCATTAGTAAAATGCACTTAAATGAATCCTAATAAATTCTAATTAATCTGGAAAAAAGTCTAATGCTATATTTAGAAGTTAATTGGGAAATAATTTTGTTTGTTTGTCAATCGCTTTGTTCTTTGTGAGGGAAAACAGAAATAGCTCATATTCCATAATCTAATTAGTATAGATTAAATGGAAAGGTTGAAAGATATAATTAGGATATACTTAGGTGATTAGTGAAATGGTTTTGTTAATACACTCAAGTAAAGGTAAAAGTTTACAATAATATTTTTCCCAGGCTTTATTTCAGAATTGTAAATGCTCAAGATAAAATACATTTGTGAATGATAAGACTTTTTTAATAATGCATTTATATCTACAAGTTGATATAAGGATGATGAACTGCACTTTTTTGTTATGTTTATTTAAAGTGCAACATTATCTGCATCCATCTTGGAACCAGTTAGATCTTGCTTCTCCTGCATCTTTGCATAGAGCTCTTGTTTAGAAACCTAAGCATGATAGTTCCAGTGATGATTTCTGTAAGAAAGTAAACATGAAGATGGTCTTTGAAAGGTCTGGAGTAAATGTTTTCCTTTTTTTTTTTTTTTTCATGTTTCATGTATTGTGCTTGGTAAATTGCTCACAACTGACTTAAACAGAACTGTATGTCCAATATATTCATTATAATCTAAATTTTACTAGTAGTTCTGCAATAAAGAAGGGTCAGAGTGGAAACATATTTCATGAGTAATGGGCATTAAAATATTGATATTCATGTTCTTTAAATGACAAGTTATATCAAACATTAGTAGAAAAGAATTTGTTCAGTGATCTATTAGTAAATAACCCTGCAGAGTAGCATATTAAATGTCACATAAACTTTGTATATCTTTTACTGTACTTTAAACACATATCTTGGTCATATTAATTGCTTTGGTGGACTAAATTGAAATGGATTATACAACTGTGTGAGGCTCCAGCATATTGGAGCTGGAATAAAATTTTGTGGAGCTTTCTGAAGTCATAAGTGCAATGAGTTTTGTTATTTCCTTATAATTCTAAAAGATACTAAGGCATCATGGCATATCTAGCATTGAAAGAGATTTAAAGAGATTATTTGCTTGAAGAACAAACTCACTGTATTAAACAGAGGTCTGTGTTGTACAATTAAGATTTTTTTTAGTAGAGTAATACTGAATTTACATATGTTCACTCTTTCATATTTGATATAGCTCCAATGGCTTTTAGACAACTATGAAACTGCAGAAGGAGTGAGTCTCCCCAGAAGTACCCTTTACAACCATTACTTACGTCATTGTCAGGAGCACAAGTTAGATCCAGTTAATGCTGCCTCTTTTGGAAAACTCATACGGTCAATCTTCATGGGATTACGGACCAGAAGACTGGGAACCAGGTTTGCATTAATGAAATCTTAAAGTGTAATAGAAAATATCAATAATAATTGTGAACATGAAGCTTGTATGTTAAAAACAAGCAAGCAAACAAACAAATAAAAATATTTAAAACCTTACTGTTAAGGGAGTTGCCAAATCCAGTGGTCTTCAGGACCCAGAGGACTCCCAGTCTGCTATAGCCAGATTCTGTGTACTCTTAAGACCCAGATATCTTCCATCTCAGTCCAATGGATGCAGCTACTGCTGTTCCCATTTGCAGGTCCAGCTAGTAGTGAGACTGAACATGTGTTCCAAAGATGCAGATAAACACACACGACACTAACACAGCTAATCACACAAGCTAATGTAGAGCAATTTCTTTACCAGCACCCACATAGACACCAATAGCACATAAACATGAATGCAGATAGCCCAATTCTGTTCTTCCTCTCCAGCTGATCAGGACTGAAGTTGACTAATGAAACATACACAAACCCTCACTCACTCACAAGCATACCCCATTTATGGAATCATTTTATTCACCATGACTGCATAAGTCATTTATTTGGTTTTTACTTTCCTTATTCTATTTAAATGAAGTCCAATGGTAAAGTGCTGGAAAATATAGTTTAAGTGAACCAATTTCCAGAAGCTGGTGGAGTTATACCAGTTTTATACTAGAGTGAGAGGAAAGTCAAGCCTAATTTTTATGTACTGCTTTCCAGTCAAGGCAAGTTGTGAAGCGAGTATGATGTATATGCATAAAACTAATGTTATTTTTGTTCTTTCATAAAGGGGGAACTCCAAATACCATTATTATGGGATTCGTGTCAAACCAGATTCTCCCCTTAATCGGCTACAAGAAGACATGCAATATATGGCTATGAGACAGCAACCCATGCAGCAGAAACAGAGGTACAGTGTTAAATGAAACTACTTTTTCATATTTCTAGTTCTTGGAGACTTATCTGTCCTCATTTATGTGGCAAAGTTGAACCTCTAATGGAAATTGTCTAACTTCTCTTGTGAAAAATAAAGGTTTGTCAGAACTGCAGTTGATATCACTGGAGTCCGATATCAGTAGACATGAGAGAGCACATACCTAAAAACTCAGAAATTTTAAAAAAGTGATAATAAAAGTAAAATATGATGCAATTCTTCTGAACAGACACTTCTTGGTGGTCTTGGGTTATTTTCCCACAAGCTGGAAAAAAAATTAATAGGAGCTTTGGATTTCAAATTCTGTTGTTCATTTTCATTACTTTAAGCAGCACATATATAAAATTATAGAAGAGCTTGTGATTAGGTTCAGCTTTGTGTTGATTTCCTCCTCCTGGCAAGAACTGATGTATCAAAACCCTGGAAGAAATGCACACGTAGCGGCTTTCCTCACCTATTAGGCAATAGACCTGCCTTTCAGCTGGAGCTGCTGTATGGCTCAGACTTCCAAACGGAAGGCTGATTTGCCTTTGACATACTGCTGCTACATGGTTTATGGGAAGGAAATGCCAAGATGTTTAAATAATTGAATTCACAGAATCACAAAATCACAGAATGGTTGAGGTTGGAAGGGACCTCTGGAGGTCATCTGGTCCAACCCCCCTGCTCAAGCAGGACCACCTAGAGCATGTTGCCTAGGACTGTGTCCAGATGGCTTTTAAATATCTCCAAGGAGGGAGACTCCACAACCTCCCTGGGCAACCTGCTCCAGTGCTCAGTCACTGTCACAGTAAAAAAGTGTTTCCTGCTGTTCAGACGGAACCTCCTGTGTTTCCGTTTGTGCCCATTGCCTCTTGTCCTGTCACTAGGCACCACTGAGAAGAGCCTGGCTCCATCTTC